GGGAGGAAAGAAGAGTGAAGACAATTGAAGACACATACATGGAAACAGTCCAGTGGCGTAATGGACCACTCAAACATCGGCTGTGAATTAACATACCTGCTGCTTCTTCTCTAAGTTGGAGCCTGCAGAGGCTTTTCTGTTATTGTCTATTTATGACCATCACACATGTAAGGAGCTCTGGTAGCGTAGTGGCTATGAGTCTCTACTAACCTTGATGACAGCAGTTTGAAATTACCAGTAGTTCCATGGGAGAAAGATGAGGCTTTCTGCTCCTGTAAAGATTTACAGCCTCAGAAACTCTGTGCAGGGTTGCTGTGAGTCGGAACCGACTCCATGGCACATAACAACAACAATATGCCCACTATAAAAGTATAGCTCTTTATTAAACACATATTATTGTTGTTTAATGCCATTGGTTCTGACTCATAGCAACTGGTTTCCAAGGAGTAACTGGTAAGCTTGAACCGCCGACTTTGTGATTCAAACTGACCTTGCAGTCCTAGTGCGTTATCTTGCAGCACCACACCAGGACTCCTGAACACTCATTAAGTCAGTATAAACTGTTGACTTTCCATATTAGCTAATATTCTTTCTCCTTTTCCTTACAGGAATTATGGGTACACCATGTGTTTACTTCCTATTCACTTTCTGAGCCCACTGTAATCTGACTTCTTTCTTTATTCCTCACCAAATCCCTCCCCAACACAATTATGTATTGTTCAATTTAAAAGACAGTTTTCAATGTTTGTTCCACTCAATTTCATTGCAGTGTCTAGAACTTTTGAACCAAATTCATTCTTCTGGCCATTCTTCTCAGTTCCTTATGAGCTCATGTTCCTCTTCCTGTCTACTTAATATTGATGCTCTTCCTTATTTTCTATTCTAAACTAAACTCTCTTCTCACTGGACGATCTCTAACACTCTTTTACTTAGGTACCATTTATGTATTTCTTATTAGTTTTAAGTGCTGTGAATCAGTTCTGACTCATAGCAACCCTGTATAGGATTTCCAAGGAGTGGCTGGTAGGTTTGAACTGCTGACCTTGCTGCTCAAACTGACCTTGCAGTCCAGTGCATTATCATGCAGCACCACAAAAGGACTCCATTTATGTGCTTATTTTATCCAAATTGATATTTTTAGTCATGATCTGTCTCCATAGTTCAAACCCACTGTCAGCTTTCCATTTCACACCTCCCTGAGCTAATTTTTAGGCACTCATCTGCACAACGCTATATTTGCTACTTTTATCCCCAGTCAATGCCTTCTCCTTCACTTCAGTCTGTGAATTACATCAGTCTGTTACCCAAGCAAAACTCAGAGATATCCTTGTCTATTTTTTCTTGTTGTTGTTAGAATATACAACTAGTTAAACAATTGTTGTGAATCATTATAAAACAACATACATGACAAAAGTAATGATTGAAGGAGATGCTCTAGTATATAAAAATTAGTAATTTATAAGAACATAGATATTTCTAAATGATAGACAAAATGAATAAAATTAGTTGCTAAAACATTTTCACTGAGATCACACCTCAAAGAGTATTGGATATTAACCTGTTTTTGAAGGGCCATGCGTATTTTGCTTGTGTTTTATCATGCTCTCCAGAGCCTCACTCCAATAATAAGTTTTCTACACTAATAAATATTTATAAACTCTCTTTAAAATCTATATGTCCACACCTTCTCATTAAGAATGGCCAGGCCTCCCCATTTGATGAACACTCTTACCATATAATTTCTGCCTTTTTTTTTTTTTTTTAACAAAATCACAGAAAGCTTTATTAAACAAAAATATCAAAACATGAATCT